TTGCACTGAGTTTTCAGATCATCCTCAAGATTGTTTTTGATTTTTAATTTAATTCATAGCTCAAGAAAATATTTGATAAGTATGTGGTTTATGATTAACTGATCTGGCTGTTAGTGGAACCAGGATCTGTTAAAGGTAACATATAATTTCAGAAATTGTAGCATGTCTGGAGGGGGGAGGGGGGTAACATTTCAGTGTTACATATCAGGGAGGGTAACATTTCAGAAAGGTAACATGTCCGTAGAGGGGTAACATTTCAATGTAACATGTCAGGGAGGGTAACATCTCATTTCAGGGTAACATGTTTGGAAGGGAGAGGGAGTATAACAATTCAAGGTAACATATGAGGGTCATGCTCATATAGCAAGGGGGGTAACATATCAGGGAGGGTAGGTCAGGCTGATATGTCAGGAAGGGTAACATGTTATGGTTACTTGTCAGGAATGGTAACTTATAAAGGGAAGTAATCATCAGGGTACAATATCAGGTAGTAGGGTAAGCGGGTTACATGCCATTGTAACTTGATCTGGGATAATATATCAGAGTAAAATATCAGGTAACATATAAGGGTAATATGTTAGGGTTTCATATCTGGAAAACATGTCAGGGTTTAGCATAAGTGTAACACTTCAGGGTAACAAGTCAGGTAGGGTTATAAAGCTGGGTAACATATCAGGGTAACAGGTCAGGGAGGGTTATATTATTGGGTAACATATCAGGGTAACAGGTTAGGGAAGGATACAGGTTAGGGAAGGTTATCTATCTGGGTAACATATCAGGGTAACAGGTTAGGGAGGGTTATCTATCTGGGTAACATATCAGGGTAATGGGTTAGGGAGAGTTATATATCTGGGTAACATATCAGGGTAATGGGTTAAGGAGGGTTGTATATCAGGGTAATGGGTTAGGGAGGGTTATATATCAGGGTAATGGGTTAGGGAGGGTTATATATCTGGGTAACATATCAGGGTAATGGGTTAGAGAGGGTTATATATCTGGGTAACATATCAGGGTAATGGGTTAGGGAGGGTTATATATCTGGGTAACATATCAGGGTAATGGGTTAGGGAG